CCACCAAAATTGGAGCAAAAATTCACTAACTTTAGCTTAAATATAGCCGATTTCAACAATTTTTCAACACTTCAAAACTTCAACAATAAGTCTTCTATAATTCCACCAAATGACCACATACTCATGCACTACTTCTCATGGCTAGAAATTTACGCATCAGTCAACATCAAAACAACCAATAATTCCCACCATACAATCATATACAAACATACAAGAATCATTCTACACAATTATTACCAAATCAAAACTAAAGTTCGATTTATTTACCTTGAATTTGTACAACACTAGTGATATAACCTCCATTTGCTAAAATTCTCTTCCTCTTGGACCTAGATCATATAAAACCATAAGAATTTAAAACTTTAAAGTTTAATCACACACCTTGTGCTAGAATCTTACCTTTGGATGCTTTAGGATTGAAAATCTACAAAAATTTAAGCCAATCCTATGAATTTTCTTTGAAATTTGGTGAAGAAATTTGAGAGAAAAAGGGGTGAGGGTAACGTGTACAAGGGTTGGAAATGGTTAGGGTTTAGCCTAATGAATCCTTATAACTAATAATATATACATGTATTCCCATTTTGCCCTTGCACTTTCTAAGAAATCCCATATATATATCATTTAATCAATTACCAAAAATACCCTCATTTCTATTATCTTCTTCACATTATTTTGTTTTTTTTCACTCCCCAGTTTTTGATCTAATTATGAGTGAAAAGACCATTTTACCCCTAATGAAGTTTTAAAGAGTTTTCTTCACATTTATCTGAGATAACTTCAAAGAAATTCAACTAAGGGTATTGGGGCATAAATAAAATTATGTACCTTGATGTGGGTGTTACAGATCACCAGCCACGACAGCCGCTACATTCGATTGGTTTTTGTCGGTCTCGATCGGCGAACGGCGACTAAACGGTTGCTAGGGACATAGGGGTTTTGTAGAGTTGGAGACACTGGTTGCAGGGGTGATGTCCAATTGGATTTTCGTCACCGGAATCGATCGAAATACAGCGAAGAACAATGAAACCCTAAGACTTACTGCACCGGCGATCGGAGGGGCCAATGAGTCAGGAACCATAGGGGTTTTGGACAACGAACGATGGGGAAGGTGATAGAGGTGCCCAGGGGGTTCAACGCCGTCAAACACAGCCCAAATCCGGCAAAAATCAAGAGGGTGCGTAGTCACTGAGTGTGATATTAAGTAATTTGAAAATAAGATGGTTAATTTTAGTAATTTAGGGGTTAAAATGTAATTTATTAATTTATTTGTTAAGAACATTATGGTAATAGCACCCTCTATAACCTAAAAATTGCTAACGATGTTATTTTAAGGGTGGGAATCTAGAATAAATAAAATCAGAGGTACTAACTTGGGATTTCGTTAAACCTTGTGTGAGAATATATCGTTTACTCTACTTTAAAATGAAATAACAAAAATACATTAAATATTAATGTTAAAAATTTCATAATCTTTAACCATTTATTGGATCAAACCTAAGTTNGATAACTTCAAAGAAATTCAACTAAGGGTATTGGGGCATAAATAAAATTATGTACCTTGATGTGGGTGTTACAGATCACCAGCCACGACAGCCGCTACATTCGATTGGTTTTTGTCGGTCTCGATCGGCGAACGGCGACTAAACGGTTGCTAGGGACATAGGGGTTTTGTAGAGTTGGAGACACTGGTTGCAGGGGTGATGTCCAATTGGATTTTCGTCACCGGAATCGATCGAAATACAGCGAAGAACAATGAAACCCTAAGACTTACTGCACCGGCGATCGGAGGGGCCAATGAGTCAGGAACCATAGGGGTTTTGGACAACGAACGATGGGGAAGGTGATAGAGGTGCCCAGGGGGTTCAACGCCGTCAAACACAGCCCAAATCCGGCAAAAATCAAGAGGGTGCGTAGTCACTGAGTGTGATATTAAGTAATTTGAAAATAAGATGGTTAATTTTAGTAATTTAGGGGTTAAAACGTAATTTATTAATGTATTTGTTAAGAGCATTATGATAATAGCACCCTCTATAACCTAAAAATTGCTAACGATGTTATTTTAAGGGTGGGAATCTAGAATAAATAAAATCAGAGGTACTAACTTGGGATTTCGTTAAACCTTGTGTGAGAATATATCGTTTACTCTACTTTAAAATGAAATAACAAAAATACATTAAATATTAATGTTAAAAATTTCATAATCTTTAACCATTTATTGGATCAAACCTAAGTTCTACAGGAAAAAAATACAACTTAAAAAAAATCATTTGACTAACAAGCTATTAAGTAAATATAATTTTAACATCATTGTTCAATGGTACCTTTATCATTTTAGTTTTAGTTGACGATTTTAACTAACATCCATTTAAACCAGGAGGAGTTTTCTAGTATCTGAAATGACAAACCAAGATTATAGAAGATTGAAAAAATTGAGATTGTAGGAGCGATTAATTGTTTCTTTCCTCAACATTGGCTCACTATCAAATGTCATTCTCTCTCTCGTCTTGTCCAGGACTCTATACATAAGGATAAAAATAAGTATAACCCAATCTAAGAAAACCCAAATTAGAATCTATCTCGAATGGGCTTGGGATATTCCGGTAGATTGGTCGTTAACATACAACCTCCCTTGACCCATGAGATTCTAGGGTATCTTTCCGCACTAAATTCCGGATGCCTCCAATTGAACATGTGACTGAGTACTACTAGTAGTAAAAGCACTAGGTATGTAAAATTAATCTATAATGTTGCAGAATATTTGGTTAGACACACAATCAATAGGTTTAATTAGAACACTCAGAGAATGAACAATAAAGAAGAAATAGTAAAGAAAAGAAAAGACACACAGGATTTATGTGGTTAAGCAATATGCCTATATCCACGGGGCGCAACACTGAAATATTTGCTTCACTAGAACAAGTAACAAAATACAACATAATCTCTTTCTACCTAGGAACTCTTTACAACCTCTTAATCAAGTACTTACAAAAGAGCCAAAGCCAATACATCACCTATTTATAGTACTCTAATTCTAAGACTTCAGAAACCCAAAATCCTCAAGGAATAGGAATTATAAATAAATACATAAAGAAATAAATCTAGTGTAAATACGATAATAATTCAACTTAATCCTAGGTGAAAAGAATCCTAAGAAATTAACAGGATTCGCATCCTATTAGGAATTAATATCCCACTAGGAAAAGACTCATAATTTATCACTTAAGAGGAATTGCAGAGTTACTGAACATTCATTTTAGGGGTTACACATGTTTTTTTATTTTCTTTTGTAGGTGTTTTTTGCAAGTTACATAAATAAAAACAAACTAAGGTCATTTTCTCTTCCAAAAACATCCATCCATTTGCAATCAGAAAAAGAGACAAGGCTCGGAAGTGAAAAACCATCTACAATAAGTCCATGCTCAAATTTTAGCCAATATATATAACTATAATACTAAAGAATTCCAAACTCATGCTACTACCCATTAATAATTTGTTAGTTTTTGTTATTATATATCATCAATATTGAAAGTGGGGATATGAATACTGCTAGATTATTTGTTCTCCAGAAACTCGGAAACAAATATCCAATTCTTTTGCCTGGATGCCTTCATCTAATTATTTAATTACATATGATTCATTCCAATCACAAAAATAAGAAAGAAAATATTATAATGTCTGACTTGTTCTTGCTAGGCACGTAGCATGGCCAGAAGCAAGTGTTGTTATCAACCCAAATACGGAAGCCAACAATTGATTTGCCCACGAGAAATTTATCATAAAAATAAAAACAAAATGGACCCTTAAATTATTGATAAAAAATAAGTGCTGTCGCTTACTCGCTTACGACAAAATGGGTGGGGTTTGACAGTTTGACTCTTCCGACTGTCTTGGGCTACACTTATTAATTTCATTGTTAGCAATGATGGGACGAGATGCCACGTTTGGATACCAATTTCAAAGCATTCAATAACCAAATGAATACCGAATAAAAATATTAATTATGTAATTTGAAATTGAATTTTTTACATTAAATATTTTAATAATTCAGTATCTAAATTTAATTATTCAAATGCGTTAATTTCATACATTTTTTGTATTACTTTTTAGCTTAATTATCAAACATTATCCTTTTTTTTAAAACATTACTATACAAGTATACATAATAAAGTTGTATTTATTTAATCCAATATAATTTAGTCCCAAAGGATTAGTACAATCTAATCCCAAAGAATTATTATAGTCTAATTCCTTTTCACCTATGAAACGCACCTTGAATTTTGTTGTTTATTGATCATCATCACTCATGTGCTTCATATATCGTTCTGATTTATCATTTTCTTATCAATTAACTGATAAATGTAATTGATAATTTGATATAAGCCTTTGATAAAGAGAAACTTATGTTCTTTTAAAATTCGTTTTTGATAACCCGAAAAGTGATGAAAAGAGAGGGAGAAAATCATATTCACTATTAACTTTCGTGTATTTTTTTTTTTTTTTTTTTTTTGTAATTGGGGTGTCTAAACTAGCTTATGCGTACCTTAATTAATCTCTATGGTCCATTAAACACCCTACAAGTTCAAAAGATTAGGTAAACTATAATATTATTTTGATAGATGACCCAGAGGCTTGAACCCAAGAACTAAAGGAATTGAGCAAACATGTTTGACCGGTTAGGCCAATCCGTTGGGTAAACTTTAACTTGCCAATCCCTTGGGTAAACTTTAACTTTCCTGTATGTAGTATTCTTTGCTCAAAATTCTTATTATATGCAAGGGCTCAAGTGAGAGCAATTACATGTATATTGAGTGAGGTTCGAAAAGCTTCAATTTGCCTTTCTGAACCTTCTACATAAGGATTTTTAAGCTGCCATGATGACATATAAAATTTGATTTTGGTGCAACGTAATTTCTTTTACTTTTTCTAATCAAATTTCTAATACCGTTGTGATCATGAATCAAGTAATTATCCTAAAAATTATAAACATATTTTACATTATGAAAATAGATATTACATTATCAAACACTAGAAATATTCGATTACTTATATAACATTCATGATTATTGGAAAACACTCAAGAGTAAATTAACCTAAATTGCACTTAAAAGATTCCAAATGTCATCTGCCTCAAGGGAGATGTCCCTCCATTCATTTTTTCCATTTTCAACAGTAGTATCCACCATCTCCTTTTCCGCTGCAATTGCTTGAAGCCAGAGATTGGTGATAGGTTCACCCTCTAATTCCGGAGCCGGGCAAGTGCTTCCTGATCCATTATCTTCTTTGTCATTTAACAGGCTTTCCCACCATTTATGATCGTGCTCTAGTGCCTGCGGCTGCCATGCTGGAGATGGGTTGTTGACGTTATCTATAAGTGCACTGATGTTATTTTTTCTCAACCAAGGTGAACTTTTACTGAAGCTTCGAGGTCGAGGCCTTATTATGATGGGCTTTACTACCTCTGTGGTTTCATGGCTGACCACCTTTTTATTGGAAACCCTTTTCCTTTGTATGTGAGTATTCCAATAGTTCTTCACATCATTCGATGTTCTTCCTGGAAGTCTAGCAGCAATCAGTGACCACCTACATTAAAGATGTGATATTAGTTAGACATGTGTATCTTCTCATTAATTTCATTTATAATGAAAAAGTAAAATAATAGTAGTTGGAAGAAAAAATTAATTAACAGTACCAAAAGGACCGAATATATGAATAAAGAATGAAACTTCATGGAACAACATAAAATGTAAAGATATTCTGTTCCAAAACGTGTGTCATCGGTCATCCTTGTAACCTTTTAGTAGTAAACTCCTAATTACCTAAACTATAAATGAAAAAAAAAAAAAAAAAAAAAAGGAGAGAGAGAAAGTCAAATAATCGGTTAACATTCTCCTGCTACAGAAACAATTATTTATATTTGTCATATTTCTACTCTCCTATGGTATCCCAAATAAAATTAAATTTAGTAACATTCACTATAAGAATTAGGAGAGGATAGAAATAGATTTGACTACTAAGAATTATGGAAGGAAAGATGAAATAAAACCATTGAAAAACTTAATACATTATATACTAGGGTAATACTATATTCACAAACTTTTCTCATTAATTTTTTCTCTCAAATACGATATAATAACTCACAATTGGTTAACTTATAATAGGTCATGTCTATCTAATAATAAGTATTTCAGATCAAATGAGAAATGTCACATCACGTTTGTGAGAAAAAATTAGTGAGAAAGAGTTTGTCAATCTATCTTTATTGTATATACTATGCATGGACTTGCCTGTTGCCTAGAAGCTTGTGAAGTCTAAGCATTAGATCAACTTCATCTGCCGCGAATTCTCCTCTCTTGATATTTGGCTTTAAGTAGTTCAACCACCTAAGTCTACAGCTTTTACGGCATCTGTTCAAACCTACAAAAATCATTCAAAAAAAAGAAAGAAATTAAGAAAGAAAACACTTGTAAATTCAAGAAAGATATAAAAGATTTCCCTTAATCACCTCCTCTTAAAGGAACTTGATGCCATTTTCCTTCTCCATGAACTTCAATGCACTTTCTCAAAAGGTTATCTTCCTCTTCAGTCCATGCTCCTTTTCTCACTCCAAAAGAACCCACCATAGTCTGATATGCCAAATGAACTTAAACGATCTTTTCTTTCCTTTTTTGTTTTTGTTGTCGTGCTAGCAGTTCAAAGCCTGCGAAAGCCAACTTATAAGTACTTCCACTTACCATCGTAAGCTTTTGAACACGGTGACGTGCATCTTTTCTAGCCACAAAAGTGAGATATGAAATCTGGTTTCTTACGCAATATGGAAAGAAAGGCTTAAAATCCGATACATTTCATGAGATTGAGTTTTCATAACTATCAGTCAACCTGTACCACTCCGTTAATTGGTTCCCTAAATGTACATTCTTTCTACATGGTTGAATTCCACTATTTTCTTTTTTCTTTCTACTTTCAATTTATGAACTAATACTCTTTTTTTTTTTTTATCAGATCACACCCATGACCTCCACAGTTCATAGTTGCAAATTTGAGGTCTTCGTTAATATGATCTCAAACAAATTGCTCCTATTGCAAGATAGGTCATAATTTTTACATAAATTAAAAAAAAAATGAAGGAATTTCAAATTTTTTTATCTAAAATATAATTTATTTTTGTAATTTTATTGGTCAAAATCAATGAACTCTCATATTTAGTAATAAAAACAATGAATTGAGACAGTAGCTTAAGAAAATGAAGTAAGAAAAAATGAGAGAAAGAGTAAAGTAAATTTTGAGAAGAAACGTAACTGAATACTTTCGTGTATAGTCTTCTTATTTTGCAAGTGTACTTTTCACACTTTTATATACAAACTAATTACAACTTAAAGCCCATACAAATTTGTTACAACTAAAAGCCCATACAAATTTGTTACAACTAAAAGCCCATACAAATTTGTTACAACTAACCCAACTGAAAGCCCAACTGAATATACAACTAACCCAACTGAATGTAACTGTTACAACTAAAAGCCCAACTGAATGTAACTGTACCCAACATTGTAACAGAATACAGTTAACAATTTTGGTCAACTTTAGTCAAAACAGTGCTTGTTTCTATACTCACAAACAAACAACCGGGGTTAGAAGATGTATTGTGATTTTTATTACGAAATTATTTTATTAATAATTACTTTTTAAATTTATTAAATTCAAATAGTTATTAAAATTAAGTTTTTGAACGAATTGTTCAAATTTACATAAAATCTTATTTAAAATTTAAAAAAGTTGAGTAATGTTAGGTCACAACCCATTCACAACATTCTCACAATCTTCGACGTGACAGCTTGTCATTGGTCAGCTCGCAATGGGTCTCGCTTGCCCATTTCCAAGTTAACCAATGACGAGCTACCACATCGGGGTTATGAGTGTAAGTGAGTGAAACAGATTCGCGCAATGGAAAAAGGACAACAATATAAAATAAAAACGAATCTGATCACACATTAACGACCGAAATCCGAGCAAAGATTATAACATTATAAACGAAACAGTGTAACAAAAATTTGTATAAATCAAAGTTGAACCCATACAAGGATTCGAAATACATTACCAACTTTTGGAGGCTCCTTCAATATCTCTAATTTGATTTCGCTCCCGATTCAAAGTAGAATCGCACTACGTCGTACAAGAAGACAATCCGTGAAACTATCAAGTGATTTGCTAGATTCTCTTGATGACTTCAAGAATCAAGGTTTTCAATGAGTCAAGAAGAGAAGAATATTTCTTTCAATCAATGAGTAGGCGTGAGAGAGAATGAAAGGGTGGTTAGGGTTTTAATATTGAATGATGAATTAATCATATACTGTTTTAATTTTAAGTTGCACTTATATAGTGCAGTAATTAAAACCCTATTCACTTAGGAATAGGCATGAGCTCAACCCTAGTTCACCCTTGCAACCAAACACCCCGTTTATGGTATTTATTAATTAATTTATTATAGTTAAAATCAATTAATATATAATAATATATAACATTTAATTATAATAATAATTCATTTAAATATATGCATAGATATATTTATATAATCTTATATTTAATTTTAATATTAAATAAATACAGGCAACACCTCAGCAAATTTAATTGCACTGTAATATTACCAAAATACCATTCGTCCTGAAAAAGAAAATGCCCTCTTCAAAAAACGATTCTAAATTATCTTCTAATGTGTGACCCGTAGATCTCATCATATCTGTAGTGTGTAGTATCGTGATTAACACCAATTAATCGTCTCACTACACACAGACCAAGATTGGCCCTAGCAAGGCATCATGACCACCCGATAGATTCGGATTCAGTGAAACCGCAGCTGTCAATGATGTGGTTACCGTGCAATCAGATCCTTTCATCATCTGTTATCTCATCGAGACTAAGGTACAGAAATAATGTCAACCTCAGATATCCTTGACAGTTTGTATTCATTAATAGACCAATGACAGGAATATTAAATTGGATGAGCAACAACTCAATCCCACTAGGCCACAGATTTATTGTCATTGCCATTTATTGAATTACCCAGTGAGATAACTTCTACCAACCCATGAGGTATGAATCCTTTGTCGATCCACCATAGTCTCAATACACTTCTCAATGTAGCAACCACTACCGTATTGATAGCTTGAATGAACTACGTTGGGCTAGTGTTAAACTACACCAATTGATGCACAAGGCGCTTCGGTGATCTCAAGTTTAAGATCACAGCACCACCATCGTTAAAGGATTATTCCATAGACACTAGGGCTACCATCCATATGGAATCCTCTAGTGGGTCTGTCTAGTGAACTGCCTCTAGCAAGCACCCATGCGTTACACCAGGTTGTCGACAAACAACCTTGACAAGTGAGATCAGTCACTGCCTTTCAACAGTGTCGTTCAACACTATGATAGTCTATCGTATTCTCTGTATCCTTGGTCAGAATAATTCTAGGGTTCGGACATTTCTAGAATGGCCACTATCAAGATTTGAAACACTTGATTCCCTTGTCCGTTCTACCATCCTAAAGACATATATCATTACATATAACTATGATTTACACGATATAGAAGACTATGCCTTTTATTGATAAATAAATATTTATTACAAAGTCAATTTTACAATAATAGATGGCTCTGGGCACCTCTAACAATCTCCCACTTGCACTATAGCCAATCATTCAGTATTTAATACCAAATGACCTTAAGCATTTTTCATGCTTTTGCGGTGACGAGGCTTCGTCGTGGATCGGCGAGATTGTCATCAGTATGACTTTACTGATTTGTACATCTTTCATCAACCATTTCTTTATGAGATGAAAACTTCTGAGTATGTGTCTGGATTCTGGTGAGATCGTGGTTCCTTTGCTTGAGCGATTGCTCCATTGTTGTCACAATAAACATCATTGAATCAACAATCATGGAAACCACTCCAAGTTTGATGATGGACTTCTTCATCAGACTGCCTCCTTGGCGCATCGGATAATGCAATATACTCAGCCTCTATTGTAGAGTCTGCTACAGTGCTTTACTTAGAGCTCTTCCAGCTCACTACACCCCCATTGAGACAAAATACAAACCCTAATTGCGATCGATAATCATCTTTATCCATTTGGAAACTAGCATCTTGTATCCTCTTACAGTGAGCTCATCTTCCCCTCCATAAACCAAGAACATGTCGTTAGTCCTATTCAGATACTTAGGATATTCTTGACAACTATCAGTGATGCTCACCTGGATCCGATTGATAATACTACAAGTGCTCAATGCTTATGAGACATCAATCCGAGAACACACATGGCATACATGATGGATCAATTGCTGATGCATAAAGGATCCTCTTCATTCTACTCTCTCATCATGTGTTTTAGGACACAATCCTTAGAGAGATAGACACCATGTGAATCAGAGAAATCCCTTCTTGGATTCTTCCATACTGAATCTCTTCAGTACTTTGTTAATGTATGTACTTTGACTTTGGCTAAGCAACCTACGTGATCTATCTCGGTAGATCTTTATTCCGAGGATGTAGGCTGTTTCTCGACAATCCTCATGGAAGAGCACTTGGTAACTAAGTCTTACCGACTATAAGTTTGGTATATCATTCCCGATCAGAAGTAGTCATCGACATACAATACTAGGAATGCCACTGCACTCCCACTCACTTCTTGTAAACACGGGCTCATCTTCGTTCTTGATAAAACCGAATTCTTTTACTGTTTATTGAAACAAATGATCCAGCTCCTTGAACCTTGCTTGAGTCCATAAATGGACCTTTGCAACTTGCATACCTTATTAGCTTGACCATCAAGAACGAAACCATCGAGTTATGTCATATACACTATCTCTTCAAGGTTTTGTTCAGGAAAGTTGTTTTGACATCCATTTGCAAATTTCATAGTCATGATATGAAGTAATTGCAAGCATAATCCAGATGGATTTGATCATGGCAACCGGCGAAAAGTTTCTTCATAGTAATAACCATGAATTTGTTTGAAACCTTTGGTAACCAGTCGTGCCTTATAAGTGTGCACATTGCTATCCATGACATCTTCTTCTTGAAGACCCATTTGCACCCTATGGGTTTTACCCCTTCAGGTGGTTCCACTAAAGACCATACTTGGTTCTGGTACATGGAGTCCATCTTAGATTTCATGGCTTTAAGCATTTAATGGAATTTGGATCCGATATAGCATCTTCGTAGGTTCTGGGTTCATCATCTTGGTGACTAGTACGTCACTATGTTGGTCACGAGATACCATATCTCTCTGGCTTATGACATACTCTCCAGACTTAATCGCTCCTATGCTACTTGAGGTGGTTCTCTTTGATCCATGGATTGTGGAGTAACTCCTCACGATGTTTAACCACCTCTTGTGGCACACCTTCCCATCCTGGTCTAATGATCTTGTGGTTCTAGAGCTACATCTACTTTTCTCCCACTAATACTTCTTAGGAAAAATTTCTTTTCTAGAAGACACCAATACGGCAACAAAAATTCGCTCTTCTGGGTGGTAGAAATAGTACCCTTGTCTCCTTAGGATACCCCACAAAAATGCACTCTCTAAATTTTGGGCTAACTTGTTCGAAGTCAATTTCTTGAATAAGCTTACAACCCCAAATCCTTAGATAAGACAAGTTGGGCTTTTGCCCACTCCATAGTTCATAGAGGTTTTATCTACAGACTTTGACGGCACGTGGTTCAATACGTGAGTCATAGTCTCTTGGGCATAACCCCA